CTTACTATCCTTTTATAAAGCGTATTTTTGTAACCCGTGGGGAGTGTAATGACAAGGGCGTCATAACCTGTGCCAAAGTCAACATGTATTACTGCTCTTTAATAGTAAAAGATCTTCTGGACTTTCTTGTTGTGGGATATCGCGATACAAAAAACGTGCATTTTATTTGTTAGATTTAGACCATAAATATTGCGCGTAGTTTAAAAATTCAAACTACTGAAATCGCGGCTATATTTTTAATACTATTATAATGCATGTTCGTTTCTCTTAAACAACTTCTTTTTTTTTTTCTTTTAGGACGTGGCAGTGATTCGCTCCGCACGAATCCAGCTGTTAAACCGCTGGAAAAAAAATCCCCCCCCCCCCCCCCCCTCCCCAAGCTGGGAAAAGTTGGGTCCAAGTGCGCATGCGGCCTGGGCTCACGGGAGAGGATGGCGGATTCAGGGAGCGACGAGGTAGCAGTGATCGGAAACACCGATCTGACTGCCGCCGAGGAGCAGAACAACCGAAACAACACGGTAAAACACCGCGCAGCTTTGCCGCAGCGCTAGGGAGCGTGTTTAAGGGCTGTTGCTGTATTACCCGATGGTAAAGAGGCCTCGCCTCGGTGCAGGCCTGCTCCGTCCCCGGTGTTGACGGATATCTTGCTGCAGCGCTGAGCACTTGAACTCGGGACGGATGTCTGTTGACACCTGATCCTGACCGGCTATTTCTGCTGTCATCTTTTGTCCCCGTCCCCCGAACCCTCCCTCCAAATCGTAGTCGTGATACGGATAGACAACTGCTGTTGGGATCATAAAGACCGCAGAGGTCAGAAGTCATCTTATATGTGTAAAAACAAATATAAAGACACCAACAACTGGAACGCTAGATGTTCAATCAAGTTTGCTGCTGCTGTTGTTGTTGTTGTTGTTCCTGGGTTGTGTGTGTGTGTGTAAGTGGGAGCAGACCTGTAGGAAGGGCATTTCTAAATGATCAATGTGTAAATAAATTGCGGTGTCGTCCTGTCCTGTTGAAACGTCTCTGGCTTCGCCTTCATGTCGTGAGTGCCGCTGAGACCTCGCACTGTTGTCGGGGGGCAGTCTGCGGATGTCCCTCTCATCAGACTCCTGTGAGTTTACCGGGGTGCCGGCGTTTGAGTCCCCGGAGAGGGAGGAGTCGCAGTTTGTGCCGGAGACCCGCTGGGGTGCTCGCAAGGCGCTTTGTTTTTTTGCGCCGGTTTGCCTGTGTTTCGGTGTGGTCTGGGTTTGCAGCGTGTGTGTACTGTATGTGTGGGGTGGGGGGTCGCTGGGGACCTCCGGTCTTTAATTCCAGCTGTTACATATTGGCACCCGTCGATGAGATTCAGACTGTAAAACGCCAGTAAAAGCTGGACTTCTGCGGGGTTTTCTTATGGACCTCCAGTCTTGTCATACGATTATAACCGATTCACGCCGGGCTCACTGGCATCGAGCATGGCACTTCTGTTATAATATTGCTAGCTAGACCTATTTTCCTTGGTCCTGTTAATGACGCACCTGAGCCAGTTAATACAAACAGAATAAGTGTCTTACAAGTGCGTTGACGCATGTTTGAACTGCGCTGCGATTACTATGCCAGTTTTTAAAGGTATTTAACGCCCGCCCCTTGTCATGTTGTGCTCTATCAATAGGATGTGGAGAAAAGCACACCCCTGCTCAAGAAAATGGAGATCAGTGTTTCAGAGGCTGAGAAAAGAACTGGGAAGAATGCTGTGAATATGCAGGAGACCTATACGGTTTACCTCATAGAAACCAGGTAAGAGCAGAGAGCCCCCATGTCCGGTAAGGCAGTGGGGTCGTGACTGAGAAACTTTTTCACAGTAGGCAGATCCCGTAATAACTTCCTGTGGTTGCCCTTAGTTGCGGTGTTTTCCGACCAGAACGGTAGGTGTCTTCTAGAAAAACACTCGGGTAAAGGCAAGATCAAGGTAGTCGCACCTGCACTGCCTTCCCACCAGAGGTAATGCAAATAAGCCGGGATCTGTCCCAGCCTCAGGCTCAAAATCTACACCTCGTACATTTTACTGCTTTATCGTGACTCTGGTTTGGTTATGCGTTTGGGTTTTATGTGTGTGTGTTGTGCTTGAAAGCCATTTACAGAGATGTAAATAGTAATAAATAATGACGGTGCTGTAGGCATTTTAAAGTGTGGGGTAGTGATCTGTTAGAGAAAATGGCCAAGTACAGACATATTTTGGCAATACATTTTTCAGGTTTTAACCCGTTTTATTTTATTAGTAAACAGTTTGGGTTTTAACTAATTTGAACACTTTTGTACTTAGTGACACTGACGGTTTAAAACTTTTTCGACCTGCAAATGAAACATCCACCCAATCTCATAACTGCTTTATCCCATGCGGTGTCAGGGTGAAGCTGGTGCCTATCTAGGCAAGCAGTGAGCACAAGGCTGGCTGCACCCTGCACGGTACACCAGTCTATCACAGGGCACACACGGACACAGATACACTCACACCAGGGCCAGTCTTCCCAGCAGCCAGTTAACACACTGGTCCAGTGCTGGGAGGCAGCAGTGCTGACCACTGCCCTACCATCCTGGCAACAAATGAAACATTTCTCTCACAAAATCAGCAGGGGGACAACATTGCAACTCTTGGCGACAGGATGATGATTGAGCACTTGCCGGGGTGGGTCGAACGGACTGAGGTGGAGTCAGTGAGGAGGTGAGGGAGAAGGCCGAGGTAACTCATCCTCAGCAGGGCTGTCACTACCCAAAGATGAATTTCTCCGCTCCGTGGGCTGAAAAAATAAGGCATGAGCCTTTCCCAGACGATATGAACGGGAGGGTTTCATCTGAAGTTGCGAGTGAACATTCTTTGTTTGGTTTTGTACAAAAGGTGTCGGGCCTCAGTTGTTACTGTGCCTCCCTCTTATCCCTCAACAGGTCATATTAAGGAGTGAGTGCCTGCTCTTTGCTCCGCTATGAATTTATTTTAGTGCACAACTTGGCAGTCTTATTGCTCACACCCGCTTAAAGCTTCTTCGGTCTTATTGTAGTTTCTTAACAAAATGCCTTTTGTCAGCTTTCATAAAGATGCATCTTCTTCAGCGGTATCTGCCTCTAGGTCCTTAGGACTAAGGCCAAGCCCTTCATGCAGGTGATCTAGCTCTTTATTTGACAGTTCATCCTTGTGCAGCTATGAACAGCTCCACCACATCTTCCTCCTCTGCTTCTTCGGAGCCATTGTTTTTTAAACCAATGTAATGATTGATTCGTTGTTCTGACCACCTCCAACCCTGTTAAAATCATGAAAGGAAAATGCTTCTTTGCTTATTTTTTTTAACACCATTCATATAGGATTCTGTCTCTTCTGCCCAGGCTTTGGCTGCGATGTCAAAGGTACAGTGTGTTTCATGTTGAAGGTTTTCAAAATTTGCTTCACAGTGGGTTTTAACTGTTGGTCACCTCAATAAGCTTTACGAAGCTTTATGAGGTAATAAACCTTAAATGTAGCTATTACACCTTGGTTTAGATAATGTCTGGAGGATGTCCAGGAACTTTATCCAACACAAGCAAAATCCCGAAGTCGATATTTTGGACCTTTTGTTGAGCCAGTATGCTTTTAGTTAACTGTGATGTTGATCACCACACCATTCAGTGAATACTGGATCTGAAACCGAACCCTTTTTTATAGACTGCCAGCTTGCAGGAGGGCTGGATTGGAGAAAGCCCTTGGATTCTTGGCAAGGAAAATGACAACGGACTTGAGCAAATAGTCTCAGTGCCGTAGCCCCCCGGCATCGCTGTCTCTCTGCCCTTGACTGCCTTGAACCTTGGGACCCTTTGTTCTTCCTTTTAAGTGTATGTCCACACCAGCATCTCTTTCCAAAAGAAGCCCATTTTGTCTGCATTAAACCTACCTGAGTTACGATCTTCAACGTTTTTTCAACATGTCAGAAAATGTGCCAAGGCATCAAAATCTGTCGATTCTCCATCAAAAAGCTGCTGGTGGTCTTTGAACTTGTTAAACCATCTTCTGCCCGCTGGGGATTCCAGCTGGGCCTTATTAGGGAAAACGTTCTTTAAGTATTCAAAAAGACTTCAAGGCTTTCCCCTTATCTTTCCCTGGCTTTCAGTCCAGGTGGTACACATCCGTTCCCTGCTTTACCTGGCCTTCCTTGGAGAAGTAGCATCCTTCAAGCAGTAGTAGTTCAGGTGGGTAGCTGCGTCAGCATGCGTTGGCTGCAAAGGAACAAGTAATAGGTTTATTCCATGCTGAAAAAAAGAAGAAAGAGAACACAACGTTTCGGCCGTGGAGCCTTCTTCACCTGAAGAAGGTGAAGAAGGCTCCACGGCCGAAACGTTGTGTTCTCTTTCTTCTTTTTTTCAGCATGGAATAAACCTATTACTTGTTCCTTTGCATCCTTCAAGCAGGTTTGTCAAGAACAGCACATGTTTGCTCGTTGTTCTCGCACTTGTTGATTGTGACATGTTTATGAGGTTCTTAGCTTATCACTTTTCTACTTCTCTTCCTTTCACAACTAGCAGCTTCAGCACTGATAACTCGTTATGGGCTTGCATCGTTTTTAGAGCACATCATGATGTGGTACACATCGTGCTAAGTTTAGCATGTTAGTCAGAGACTAATCGCGCTTCTTAAATAGTGTTAAACTGCGTATTTGTTGGTCAGAAGTCAAGGAATATCTGCCCTGATCTTTTTAGTCCTTATATTATACAGTAGAGCTGAAAAAGACAGAGGTGAGCTCATATATCAGGTGTAATACATATAATTCATCAGCTGAACTAAATAAGTCTAATAGTAGTAACACGGTCTTTAAACGGAAAGGGTGCTGTAATAAACAAAGAGCGATAGTTCTGCAGGATTCAGTGGTTCGGTACATTCCTAACACCATCGCATTGACCCATGGGCTGAGCAGTGTTTATCACAAACATCACGCAGCACATTAAAGCTTCTTTTGGAATCCAGAATGAGGTGCTCTGGGGCATTATTTCCAGCTCCATGTCACCGGCACAATCGAAACTATCCAGCAACATGCTTAAATAAAGCCACCTTGTGGTGAGGGTGAACGTGCAAGTCCTGGAAAGGCAAATCAGTGGCTACGCTATTGTATTTAACTGGGAGGGACTTGCATAAACTATGGTTTCCCCCCTTAGTTCTGTTGATTGTTGTCAAGGTTTCTGTATGTAGACAAAACACTTCAAAATATCGTCTGCGCCTAGCTGTGACAGAAACACAAAAATGCCATTTGGGTTATGGTGTTAGTTATTGTTATGGCTAAGAGCAACGATGGCTCTTTAGGTCACTTTCAAACCTGCTTCATAAAATTAACATCAGTTTCTTAAGGGGAAAAATCCCCGGGGATGGTCTCCTAGTAAGTTCAGATTTTAAGAAAAGTCATCTGGCTTCTTTCTAATGGGTTTTGCAGATGGTTATAATTCTTTATAATTTAAAAACAAGAAGCAGCAATTTGTAGGTACCATAGGATGACATATGAGATGGAAAATAGTTTAATAATGCACTTGCTCTGTAACCTTATGGATCAGTTTAAAGTGTAACCTTACCCTTTCTTAACCAGACTAATCATCTGCAGACATGTTTGCTAGGTTCCCCTTAACAGTGTAACTGCCTTGTGCTATCTCGGAATGGAGCAGTTAGCCCTGATAAAGGACATCATGAATAGTTATATTTTCACTCTGTCTTCAGGAAATGGTTTATAGCTATATCAGAATATTTCACAATAGTATTATAGGACCCATGGTGTGGTGAGTTCCTGAACTGGGTTGCACAGTTTCAGCATATGGCTTTCTGTCACATTTAATGTCACACAAGTTTCTGCTAGACCTAATTACTCTATGATGTCTTGGATACCTCCTGGATGCATAGTGGTCTTTCATCAATGGGTCTGCAGGCTTGGATCCCTGTTCATGCATTTATTGTCCATCACCTCTGCCTTCAAAAATGAACTGTGTTTCTTGTTTTTATGTGGTAACACTTCAGCACAAGCTTTGGTGAAAAAAAACTGCCTTTTTACTTTGAGATTTGTATGTGTCGACACATGCTGTCAAAAACTGTTGAAGATTGTCAGATGATAATGAATAGTAATGCTTGGCATGTGACTTCAAATGGAAACTGCTTTTAAAACGAAGAACCCAAGGTCTCTTCTGATTATGGTAGCCTTTCTTCTCACCCTTTGAGAATTTGGTAGTATTTTTTTTCCTGTTTCTCTGTTAATTTATGGTAGAAGTTTGGCATTATGTTTTTTGCATCATATTGTTACATCATTGGCATCTGATATGAATAGAATATGAATATGAAAGTGCCCACATATCTACAGTATTGTAAAGGACTTTTCATGCACTTAGAACAATACTGTAGAACTCTTAACAGGTTACTGAAAAAGGAGGTGAGAGGTGAGGAATGTGTTTGCAGACATATTGAGCAACAAAGGTAAAAAAAGTAAAAACCCATAGAAGTGGAATCACAGAGCCTATCTTGTTTTATTCCCACTGTTTGATGCTATGAAGCACTGGAGATCGGCTGCAGGGAACTGTCTCTGGAAAGTCTGATCACATCATTTTAATTAAATCCACTCAAGAAAATGTATGCTGTGCCATCCAGTGTTTTATAACTTGTGTGGGTCTGAAGATTCTGTGCCCTAGATTACAGTAATTGAAGGGAACACGCATTAATTAGATGAATGGAAATTCTACCTTCCACATGGACTCTTATTTGAGTGCTTCCTCCTTTTAAAGTTTTTGTTACTCTGCATGATGTG